AGAGAGAGTCGCCTGCCTAGTCTCAGGGGTGCAGTCCTGGGAGGAGAGCCGCCCCTGCTGCTGTGCTAAGGGAGAAGTTTGGGGCGGGACCACCCGCATGGTCACGGCGGGCAGGGGAGCGGCTGCTGGACACAGCTCTGTTCTTCCATAACAGCAATCAGGTCATTTTTGTAATAATGTTTACTATTACTCAGTTAAGGATCTCAAAACATTCCATAAACACCAATTACTTACACCTCATATCAGTCTCTGATGAATGGGCACAAGGGAAACACAATTGTCCGTCGGAATCCAAAGTAGGAAATGACTCAGCCGGCGCACTCTCGGTGGCAGTGGCACGGGAGATATTTCTCTGCCCGCCCCCCCTCCCCGCATCAGGCCGTGCTCAGTAGCTTGGTTTGGAACTTCGGGGGCTCGGGGTGTGCACTTTCCAGAAACCTGGCGATGCCACTGTCTTCATCACCGTCACCATCAACATGGGGGGGGGGGACTCCTGGGCTCTAGGATGTGGCCCATGACATTGCCAGCCTCACTCCTCTTTCCTACAATGTTCTCTTCCTCCGTCGCGACAGACTGTGCTGCCCTCCCAGAATCCTCTTGCCCCCCGGTGCTTTGCTCACTCTGTGCCTCCTTGCTCATGCCCCTCTTCTTTTGCCAAGTCCCGCTCTAATGCTTTCTGTGAGCTCAAGATGGCTCAAGAAAGTACTCATTACGTGCAGACACTGAGCGAACCCCATTCATTCACACCTCTCAATAACCCAAAGAGATAAGTAATATCATTACTTCCACTTCATAGATGAGGAGACTGAGTCCCGAGATGGTTAGTAACTTAACGCATGATCATGCACCCTGTAAATGGTAGAAAGGCAACCAGAACCCCAACCCACCTGGCACCGAACCCCAGCACTCAACCATCCTGCTGGCTGTGAGTTGTGCAGTGGTCTCTCTCCCTGACTAGCGAAAGCCCCCAGAGGACTCCTCTCCAGCATCTTCTCACAACCAGTGCCCAGTAAATCAAGGCTGAATTGAAAATTCCAATGTATTCACTCAAGAATAGAAGCCCCAAACCAAGGCCTCTGCCCCTCACTCTTATTTTAACCTCTCAACAATCCAACCCCTCAAGGTCTCTCTTAACCAGGTTGGCTGTTTAATGGGTCTTTACTATGCACCTGGCATCACTACACTCCTCTCTGCATTTTCCCTTAAGATCAATAAGCTACTAACAGGCCTAAAATGGACAGAGAAGAAGGTCACTGACGGGCTGCACCACGCAAGCACACACAGGACATCCCTCAGCCCATGGGGCTGGGCTGAGCATTGACCCAGTATCGCAGGGATGTGAGGGTGCAGAGTCAGCGGCTAGGAGTGCTCTGGAGCTCATGAGATCAGCCATTATTTGATGACAGGATTTTTGCTCTCACCCAACACTGGTGGGGAAAATGCTTTAGGATCATGACTAGCCAAAAATTTATCCTGAGAACCCAAACTTCTTGGTAATTGAGATCCTCCAGCTAAACAATTTTTTTTTCCCAAGGCTTGAAGCACAACCCCCAGCAAACCTTTTGCTCAGAAGTTTAAAAATAGGCAAAACACCTGGAGGGGAAGGTTGTTAAATTTTATGATTTCAGGAAACATCTACGTCTCAGACTTTGTTGATTATTAAGAGGATAAAAATATATGTGTGTATGTATATATATATGTGTGTGTGTGTGTGTGTGTGTATATATATATATATATTTAGCACATCTCATCTTCTTTCACCCAAAGATAAGTAAAAATTAACAACTTTATGGAACTAGGAGTATAAGAGCCACATCTGGGCACTGACTTAAAGAAACTGAAGTGAAGGAATCACCTTCAAAAGCAGCATGTAAAACACAAAAGCAAACAACCCAATTTAAAAGGAGCAAAGAACTTGAATAGAAATTTACAGAAGATATTCAAATATCACGGTCATATGAAAAAATGTTAAGCACCACTAGTCATTAGGGAAATGCAAGTCAAACCACAATGAGATAGCAATTCACACATGCTGGAATGGTTACTGGCCAAAAAAAAAAAAAAAAAAAATAATCTGTAGGAAAATAAACAAAACATCTAAAAAAAAAAAAAAAAAAAATGCAGAAAATAACAAAAGTTGGCATGTGGAGAAACTGGAAGTTTTGGGTACTCCAGTAGGGAGGCAAAATGGGCTGCAGCTACAGAAAACAGTATGGTGGCTCCTCAATTAATGAAACAGAATTGCCAAAAAACCCATCAATTTCATCTCAAAAGGACTAAAGTCAAGGTCTCAGGTATAGTTGTATAACCAAGTTTATAAAAACATAATCCAAAATAGCCAAAAAGTGAAAGCAATACAAATGTCCACTGACAGGTGACACAGTCTTAAAATGTGGTATATCCATACAGTGGAATATTATTCACTCATGAAAAGGAAGGACCTTTTGACATGTGCTACAACATGGATAAATTTTAAGGACTTTATGTCAAGTGAAATAAGTTAGTCATTAAAAGAAAAATACTGTATGATTCCATTTATATAAGGTATCCAGAGTTTTCATATTCATAGAGACAGAAAACAGAAGGGTGGTGCCAGGAGGAAGAAGAAATAGGGAGCTGTATTTAACAGATACAGGTTAGTTTTGCAAGAACTGGATTTCTATCAAAGAAGTCCTGCAGATGGATGGTAGCTACAGTTGCACAATATAAACATACTTAATGCCACTGAACTGTACACATTAAAATGAGGGAAATGCTAGATTTCCTGTTATGTATTTTTTGCAACTTAAGAAAGGGAGGAAGAGAAGTATGAAGGGAAGGAGGAAAGCACCAAGTTAACTCATTAATACATCTCATTTCGGAACACCTCCTGGAGTCCTCTTGGGAAGAAAGAAATGAAACATTAAGGACTAAGCTTTTTTCCCCAATAATGACAGAGTCAGGATCATTACAGACTCAGGAGTCTATTTAATTATCTAGAATATCTTAAAAAATAAAACTGTGTCCTACAATGTACTTGGTGATGTGTGACTACAAATGACCTGTGTGATAATTTTTCATTGGCGACTAAGGATAGAGAGGGAATTTGACTCCAAATAATAGGAATACGTCAATTCCACATTAATCAGGTTCTACTACCTCATCCTTCTGATTTTGCAGCATCCAGTTGTCAGACACAAACCAACACATCTATCTAAAACCTCCATATTGTGTGGACAGACTAGGTAAAGACAAAGTTTGGGGGAGACAGGAGGACTTCAAGAGAAGGAAAATAACTAGACACAGGTTAATTCATAGCTGACTTTAGTGACAAAAGGAAAGCCTCTCCCAAACCAAGTCCTCTCCCACCTTCCTGGTCCCACCCACCAAGCCCACTGGTGTCCTTAAATGCACTGGAATGTGTCCACTTCCCTGGTCTTCCCATCATGTGGTCCTGACACTCCAGGCCCCCGTGACCTATGCCTCTATGCACTTCCTTCATCCTGCGTAGGGTGCCAGTCCTCTATCTACAAGTCTGTCTCCGCATCATCTCCACCAGATGAGACCACACTTCAGCCCTAGGCCAACTCGATGCAATTCTCAGTCCCCACAACCACGCTGTGCAGAGGGTGCCTGTGCCCAAAATGAAGTCACTCGGTAAAGGTCACATTGTGGTAGGTCATGAGCTAGGTTTGGGGACCATGTTCCATCCCTTGCCCTAGGGCTTTGGGTGATATCAAGGGCAATATTCAGGAGCCCCTAACTTCAGCTCCTCAATGCAGATTCACAGTCCCCCAGCCGAACTTCTCCTCTCTCCAGCCCTCTTGGGACAGTGACAATTCATGACTGTAAGCAACCCCATACCTAGAAGCAATAATGTCACCACCTACCCCAGGACTGATGACATGTAGCATTGACTTGTTTCACTGGGTGCTGGCCCGGGGCCTATGCAATAACTACCATGTGCTCTGTGCATGTTACGTGCTGGGCACTATCCTCTGAGTTTTATCTCTAGTCCTATTATCAGCTATGAAAAATAAGGTAAAATGGCAGCACCATTTTACAGATGAGAAAGCTGAGGCTCACAGAGGCAACTGCCCCAAGATCACCCAGGCAGGATTCAAATCTAGCCAAAGCCAAGGTATGCCCTGGCCTCTACACATCATGCTCTCTGAAAATGATTTTTAAAAAGAAAGAGGCATTCTGGAATGCAAGAATTTAGGATCCAGAACCATAACCTCTTCCTCAGCTACTTCTGACCAGAAATGAGGACCCTTCACCTGTCTGATTCGCGACACCAAGCTCATCTTACCGTGGGCCGCTTCCAGACAATGCCTTGAGTTTGGGGGGAGCGTGGGCCAAGATCCTTGTAGCCCAAGGCTGATGGGCATGCCGGGAACTCTGGGTCCTTAAATAGGACTCCGGAATCCAAGCACTCTTGCCTGAGGGTCTCGTAGTCCTGACCCAAGTACTTCACAGCTCTCTGGCTGGAGCCAAGACCCGGGGCAGCTGCCTGCTGCTTGGATATGCTGGCTGCCAGGGCGGCCATGGCCCTGGGCTCTGCAGGCGAGACAGGAGGACAGGGCTGCCGTGTCCTCTCAGAGACCTGTCCCTGGCACAGGACCTATAAGACAGCATGGAAGGGAGGTGGAGCAGGAAAACATTTCATCAGAGCCCTGCTCCAGGTGGTGTGAGTCATGCCAAGAACAAATATGTGCTCCAGGCGCAAATGAATCTGCCCCACCTCCCTGTCTGCCTGTTAGCCGACAATTTGGAGGCTGGGAACCTTCCAGGGCTCCTCCCAGCCCATTAGCCTAAGTAATGCATTAGGATCTCAGTCAACCTACTACTTTGCAGGACCTGCTTGCCTCCCCTTGGGTCCTTCAGCTGAGCCTGAAGACCTGTCTTGCAACTTGAGGCAGTGTTTACCAAGGAGTTGGAAAAGGAGCTAGAGGTTCTCAGCAGGAGGAAAGCAATGGGGTTAGAGGAGTTCCTTTCCTTCCAGAACAGTTTGGTTCCATATTTTCTTTTTTATTTTATTTTATTTGTATACACACACACACTCACACACACACACACACACACACATACATTTCCATCATTCTTCATTTTGTGCATTTTTTTCATCTCAGTTGCATTCCTGGTGGATTTCCCACCACCAGTTCACCCATGCACGGTGCACTCTTCCAGCCCCTGTTTTGATCCTATTCCCCTCTCCAGCCCCATAGAATGTCTCTGGGGGTTTTATATTTTCTAGGACAGAAATATCAGATGGGGTGACACATGGAGAACCCAACTGGAGGCTGTGATACCTATGAGTGAAGGTCATGGCCACTGCCTGGATTTCTATCCCAGCTTCACTCACCATTACTTCCTTTACCTCAGGCAAGTTGTTTGACCTTGCTTCCCCTCGATTTGCTCATCTGTGAAATGGAAGATAGTGGTAGGACCTGCCTCACAGGATGGTTTGGGGGAGTGATAAGATGGTGCGTGGAATTGGCTTAGAAGACACATGGGACATCTCAGTAGATGCCGGCCACCATTATTCCCAGAATCCAGGGCTGGAAAGAGAAGGTCTCGGAATAAGGACCTTCTTGGAATGCTGGGTGGACTCCATGACATAATCAATTAGATTAATTCCTTTTCCATGGGCTCCAATTTCCTAGACCTGACCTGCCCTGAGGACATGGGCCCTATTGGTGATGTTTGAACTGTAGTTTGTGTGTGGCAGGCTAGAAAATGGTCCCCCCAAAATATTTCAGATCTTAATCTCTAGAACCTATAAATAGTGCTTTGTTTAGGAAAAAGGATCTTTGTAGAGTGATTAAGTAAAAGGTCTTGAATTGGGGAGATTACTGTGGCTCTACGTGTAATCTCGAGTGTTCGTGTAAGAGGGAGGCAGAAGGACATTTGACAACAGACCAGAAAAGAGGCAGTGATGTGTGCACAGGGCAGAGGGGAGCGATGCAGCCACCGGCCAAGCAATGCCAGCAGCCACCAAAGCTGGAAGAGGCCAGGGACAGTCTCCAGAGCCTCTGCCGGGGTGAGGACTTGCCAGTGAGGCTGAGTTTGGACTTCTGGCCTCTAAAACGGAGAGAATAGACTTCTGTTGTTTTAAGTCACCAAGTTGATGGCAGATTGTTACAGCAGCCACCGGAAGCTAACTTGGTGTGTGCAAGAGCCCTAGGGCGCCAGCGTACGGTGCGGATTCCTAAGCCTCCCCCTGTGCTCCCTCCCTAAAACCGTGTAAGACCCAGGACCCTGCAGTTTTAAAACTATCGTCACAGAGATGAACTCAGGGCAGACCACACACTCGGGATCTCCAGGTCCGCTGAGCCCCGCAGACACAGCTCCAATCTCGGTAAGCAGGTGCGACCAGCAGAAAGAAGGACCTGTGACCAGCATAAAACATGGTTTCCCAGGTTTAACAGAAATTCAAGGCCTGCTGTCCTTCAGAGGCTCACGCTAGCATCAGAAGGACCTGGCTGTGACCCTGAGCCGCTGGGGTCCCCCCTTGACACTCTTAGCACCAACTTCCTTTGTCTGATGTCTGCCCCCAAGTCAGTTACAAATTCGCCAGTCCCCTCGCGGGCTCTCCTCTCCCTAGGATGGCCCCAAGTTCTCGAGAAGCAGACCCACAGCTCCACCCAGTCAGCAGACTCCTCCTGAGTGCACGGACTCCAACGGAAATCTAAAACCTCTGTGTGGGAAAGGAAAGAAAATAGTGATTGTTCCGATGATTACTGCCTAATCATTGGAAGCTTGTGACTGATGTCCATGCACAATACAAACCTACCCAGAGTGGTCATTTTCCAACACAATCTGACCACGACTCTTCCAAGTTGAAAATCCCCCAGTGGCTGCCTAATATTTTGGAGGGAAGGACAGGGGCGTCACAGCTCCCCGGCCTGTAAGACCCTAACCTTCCCCACCATGCTCGCCCTGCTCTCCCCCACCTCCGCTGCCCCCACCCCCGCCTCCTCGCCCTCCCCCAGCCCCAGCCACACTACGGTGCTCCACCTGCTGTGCTCCCTACCAGAGACACTCTTCTGCCAGCTCCTGCTCGTTCTTCAGAACTGCGTGCCTCAGGGAAGCGATCTCCTCTTACACAGTCTGGCTGCAGCCAGCTCTGCCTGGCCAACCATCATTAATTACTCCTCCTCCCCGCCACAGGCTCTGATTCCACAAGGACAATCGTCTGAGTTTGTTTTGTTCACTGCTACATCACTGGAGCCTAGAAACTTCTGGTGCATAGTAGGGACTGAATAAATACATGTTGAATGAATAACCCTCACCTATGAAATGCCCAGTGGCTAGATATATACACACCAGGTTCAGGCAGGGCCATTTAGTTCATCTGCATGGATCTAAGGAGACTTTTTCCCCTTGCACTGTTCTCTCCACCTCCCAGAAACATTCCCTGTAGACTGACTAAAGTGAACAAACCCTTCCTCTGTTCAATCTCAGGGTAAGTGCAAGTGGTAATTTTCCTCCGGCATGAGGGACGCCTTTGGGTTAGCAATCTCCTTCCCACCCTGCCTGCCTACCTCACTCATCTCCAGATGCTGCACACACCCTTCCTCTTCCCGGCTGAGTTGTGGCAAAATCCCGCCTGCACCACTCACGTAAACCAAACAGAAACAGGAACCATCTCTGCTCACCAGCGCCTCTGAGCGGACAACAAGCATCTCCCTTTTATCCAGCCGGGCACTCCAAAGGAGCAGCCTGCACCAGCTGGTGCTGTCAGGCCCGGCAGCTGTCTCCCCAGCTCACGGCCCTCTGCAAATGCCAAAGTCAGCTTTCTTCTAGGAAAGCTTGGAATCCGTTACAGACGCTGACAGGGCCGAGCAGAAACGCAACCTGGAGGCACCGATATAATGAAGAACTTTCCCAGCAAACACGCTCCCTGGGCACGCGCCAGCCAAGCCGAGCTCTCGGCACAGACAGCAGATCCTGGGCTAGGTGGCCCTGCACCGTCCCCTCAGCAAGGAGGACAATTACTCAAAGGCCCAAGTTTACCGCGAACCCAGTTTGCAAGGCTTGTTGTCTTGCGCAGTCCAACCTGGGAACGGGATGAGTGACAACTGTCAGGTGCATCCTCTGCTGAGGCTCCCCATTTTGGATTCTAAGGCAAGCGGGGAGGACCCCAATGTCAAGGGTATTATGAGTTCTCAGACATTGTGGTGGGAATGTGAAATGTTACAGTCACTTTTGGGGAGAAAGCCTGCCCCGTAAAGTTCCTCAAATGCCCAAGTAGTGTTACAGAGTAACTCCACGTAACCCCACGTAACCCCCACGCCAGGGAATTAAAGAGAATGGAAGACAGAAGTCCACACAAAAACTTGACCGTGAGTGCTATGCTGTACAGCGGAAACCCAAATGCCGGTCAGTGGCTAAGTGGACACAGAACATGACGTGCCTGTCCCACAGCATGTGATTCGGCCCAAAGACGGGATGGCACTGCCACCAGGGAGACAGGGACAAGCGTAGTGTGGGTGCAGGAAGCCAGTCACTGAGGCCTCCAGAGCACCTGGCTCTGGGTAGATGAAATATCCAGAACAGACAAGGCCACAGGGATGGAAAGCCGATTAGCGGCTGCCAGGGGATGGGCGAAGCAGGGGTGGGATTGACCACAAACAGGTGCAGTTTCTTTTAGGGGTGAGGGAAACTTTCTAGAATGAGATTGTGGCGATGTTGCGCACCGTAGTGAATGTACAGAAAAACCACAGTTGTGTAGCTTAAGATGGTCATTTTTATATGAATTCCATGTCAATACAGAAAGAAAGAAAATAGGGCCCTCCCTGGTGGCACAACAGGTAAAAGTGCAGCACTATGAAGCTCTCCGCAGCCCTGAAACATGAGTTTGATCCCCGGGCAAGGAGGCGACCCACATGGCACAGCAGACCTCTCCTGCTCCCCTCAGCAGTGTATTTCAGTGGATCTGCCTGTTTTGCTCCCCACTCTGTCTCTGGTGAATTCTCTCACCCCCACTCCTACCTCTGGCCTGTACCCCAGCTCTTGTATGCATAAATAAATAAATATTTTTTTAAAAAAAAATAAAGGGCAGGGGAAGAAAATAGTGTCACAGAAAAGAGGGCTGCTATAATCTGAATATTCACTGGTGGTCTCTAGGTAAAAGCCTGCCCTCCCAACTGTAAGAATCCCAGAACTGTGAGACCAAGCCAGCCCCAAGAAAACAGAAGGCTGGCTCGCTCAGGGTGTGAAGACTTATCCCTCCCAGGTCTGCAGGATCTCTCATCACCCTCTGGGACCATACACCACCCCAGATCCTAATCCTGACAAGAAGGAACCTAGCAAACCCTACTTGGTGGGCCAGCTGAGATTGCCCCCAGCACCTAACCCAGACCCTGCAAACCCAGAATGACCAAGAAATGCTATAAAATTTACATTTGAATAGATGTCAGGTCTACATAGCAACTTCAAGTCCATGGCCGATTAGAGACCCACAAGTCTATAGAGAGATTGTAGTGTCAGGCCAGTCAACCTCACCTGGGGCCAGTGATACCCCAAGACTCCTGATTTTAAATT